ATTGACTTTTTTCTCCTGCCATGGGGGGGCGCTCTTTTGGGGAGTAAAAATTTCTTCACAAATGTGTTGATGGCTGGACATTGCATCATCCTAGAAAACTTGGAGGCCAGTGAGGGCAAAAATAAAAAGTTATAAGACTTTTAAGACTGTGGATTTTTGGGTTATCTTTGGCGCCCCCTAGAATGTAAACCGTGGGGTGCAGCGTCATGATTTGTACAACTTTTAATGGCCATGGGGTGTAGATTGGCCTGAGCAAATGTGGTGCCGTTGGAACGAAAGCCTTCGGAGGAGTTAGCGAAATTCCAATGTGTGCGGATCGGCAAAAAATGCGAAATAACCCTTTAACCGTACATTTGACAGATACGCCCGCACTGACTTTTTTGTAGATCTTATTGAGATACACATGTGTGTCAAATTTTGTGTCATTTTGACAAAGCGTACAGGCGTCAGGAGAGTTTTCACCATAGGGGGCGCTATGGAGCCATTTTTCATTTTTTTGTTTGGGCGACTTCAGAATATCGAATTTTTCACCAGGCCCGGTCGTCCTGCCAAATTTCCTGAGTTTTCGCCAGTGGGAAGTGGGCCATTTTCCAGTTTAAAGCGGAGGAAAAATAACGAAAGAAGAATCCATCAGGAACAAGAGGGCTCTCGCAGCTGCTTAGCAGCTACGCTCGGGCCCTAATTATGGAAAAATTACACATGGACTGACATAGAGGAGGATCTACACAAGTTTTTTACATCATGTTTTACATCATGCATCATTTACATCATGTTTTTTTGTAGTGGCATAAATAAAAAGTGACATTTGTGAGACTATACAGTGTTTTGTAAATAATTTTACAAAGAACGCCTGGGCCATTGCCCGCATTTTGATGTAAATAGAGGTAAATTACTATGTTCTTTGTTAAAAATTTGCATATGTTTTGAAGTTTACAATTTTTATTTGAAGTTTAAGTTTTAAAAACAGTTCATCACACATATTTGTGGTTTAATTTCACATTAATTTCCATATTGTATAAATGACTGGAAAAAACTTGAGCCCCTGCCCCTGTATAATCATGTGCACGTCCCTGTTCTAGCTCCAAGGTGAATCTTCACTGCTCATGTTCTCCTCAGAAATAGTCACCTCACTCCCCTCAGGTTACTGTACACATGCACCAACTATCTGCTTCAGGTTTGAAATGGAGCTTCATGGTTGTCTTTTGGAGAAATGAACAGTCAAGTTGTGTTTGAAATTTGATTTTTTTCAGGGGCAAAAGGAAGCCTCTGCATTCTTGTCAAATATGTAAACAGCATGTTTTTGCAGGTGCTAAAAAACAGACTCTGAGTGTGTGTGTGTGTGTGTGTGTGTGTGTGTGTGTGTGTGTGTGTGTGTGTGTATCCTGCAGTACTCTGTACTCCTGCAGTGGCCAAAAAGACTTTTAAGAATGTGGATTTTTGGGTCATCTTTGGCGCCCCCTAGAACTGCAGTACTCTGTACTCCTGCAGTGGCCAAAATGACTTTTAAGAATGTGGATTTTTGGGTCATCTTTGGCGCCCCCTAGAACGTAAACCGTGGGGTGCAGCGTCATGATTTTTACAACTTTGAATGGGCATGGGGTGTAGATTGCCCTGAGCAAATTTGGTATCGGTGGAACGAAAGCCTTCGGAGGAGTTAGCGAAATTCCAATGTGTGCGGATCGGCAAAAAATGCGAAATAGCCCTTTAACCGTACATTATACAGATACGCGCTCTTTGACTTTTTCGTAGATCTTATTGAGATACACGTGTGTGTCAAATTTTGTGTCAATATGACAAAGCGTTCAGGCATGACACTCAACAATGTGTATTTTCACCTTAGGGGACAAGAAAAAATTGACTTTTTTCTCCTGCCATGGGGGGGCGCTCTTTTGGGGAGTAAAAATTTCTTCACAAATGTGTTGATGGCTGGACATTGCATCATCCTAGAAAACTTGGAGGCCAGTGAGGGCAAAAATAAAAAGTTATAAGACTTTTAAGACTGTGGATTTTTGGGTTATCTTTGGCGCCCCCTAGAATGTAAACCGTGGGGTGCAGCGTCATGATTTGTACAACTTTTAATGGCCATGGGGTGTAGATTGGCCTGAGCAAATGTGGTGCCGTTGGAACGAAAGCCTTCGGAGGAGATAGCGAAATTCCAATGTGTGCGGATCGGCAAAAAATGCGAAATAACCCTTTAACCGTACATTTGACAGATACGCCCGCACTGACTTTTTTGTAGATCTTATTGAGATACACATGTGTGTCAAATTTTGTGTCATTTTGACAAAGCGTACAGGCGTCAGGAGAGTTTTCACCATAGGGGGCGCTATGGAGCCATTTTTCATTTTTTTGTTTGGGCGACTTCAGAATATCGAATTTTTCACCAGGCCCGGTCGTCCTGCCAAATTTCCTGAGTTTTCGCCAGTGGGAAGTGGGCCATTTTCCAGTTTAAAGCGGAGGAAAAATAACGAAAGAAGAATCCATCAGGAACAAGAGGGCTCTCGCAGCTGCTTAGCAGCTACGCTCGGGCCCTAATAACGAAAGAAGGAAACATGCAGGAACAAGAGGGCTCTCGCAGCTGCTTAGCAGCTACGCTCGGGCCCTAATTACAACATCATACTCCCCTTCTAATGTTTTGGTATCCATCGGAGATCCCTGAGGACTACAGGGTTAGTGAGAAAATCCTAAAATGATTTTATTACAAGTTTTAATGTTCTGTAAATGCAACCGGAAGCAGTGTCAGTGCAAAGCAAATCAAGCTATATTGTCTTCTATAAAAGACATTTTACAAAATCTCCTGCTAAATGATTTTTTTTCACAGTTGGACAGCAGTGTTGAGGCTGTTGTGGGAGAGGAAGCTCTGTCGGAGGACATTGAGCAGCTGGAAGGTGTTAGGGCTATTGTACAAAGGAATGTGGAGAAGCAGCAGGAGAAGACACGTCGGAGACTACAGTCAGGTGCTCCAAAGGCAGAATTCAAAGTTGGAGACCAGGGGCCTCATGTATCAACGCTTGCGGCGCAAGAAAAACTTGCGTACGCCAAAATCGGCGCACACGTCCAGATTTATCATCGCGAAACGAGCGTCGGTTCCAGCGCTAATCAACGCAAAGTCAGGAGGTGGTGTAGAAATTGGCGTTGAGCTGATACTTGCGTTGACTGTGATTCGCACTTTGGTGACGCTGTGTGGCGGTGTTCTGTGACTCACTATGTGACAAGCGTGCACCACATCCCCGTGGCTGAGCAGCACGTCGCCCCACATGACGAACCAGCAGCAGACGGAGGGATGTGAGCTGATCCCTGCCGGGCTGCCGTCCTCGCGCGGGAGAATGTCATCGCCAGTGTGAATGGGTAAGAAGTGAATACACAGTTCAATGAGCCAAATTAATTTACTTTCTCCACCAGACACTCGAGGACATTTACGAGCCGGTCCAGCCGCTCGTTGATCCCCGCGATCCCCCTGATGATTTCTTCCTGCGATTGCAGGACCCCCTCCGCGAGGACCCTTCCACTGCGTCCGGGTGGTCCAGCGGAAGCGCCGCGGCTGGTGGACGTTCCACCGCTTGTCGGCGCGCTGGTGCTGATGCTGGTGCTGGTGCTGGGGCCGGGGTGGCCCGAATGCCGCTGGTCCTGGCCGACGACTCCGAGCCGGCGGACGGGCTGCCGCGGGCCGGGGTTCCGCAAGCCGGCGACACGGCCGACACATTGATTTCTGTGACACCATAAAAATATTTGTTCATTTCAATTCCTGCTTCTGTGTATCTGTTGCGTTTACATCTCTCTCCACGGTATCATAGGTAATGTAATCCAGTATTTCGAGGTCAGTTATGCACATTACAGTTGTTTATTGCATAAAAAGTTATCGAAAAATGAAGTTAAGGGCGAAGTATAAATCACGTCTAAAAATAGACTGAATCCCGACGTTGAAATGAAGTATAAACTTAGACTAGACGTCTAATATACGTCTTTTGCTCAGTGGGATGACAAAGCATGTGGACATTTGTGTGACACGCCACTTACCCTATAATAATAATCACCACCACCCGCTGCTCAAACGGCATGAGGGTCTCCTCCCCCGGACCCCCACCTGTCTGGCCAGTACTACTCCGGAGGGCAGCTGTACGCCGCTTGACCTCCACCTTGAGGTCTGACCACTTTTTTTTAATCTCCGCGGGGGTGCGTGTCTCGGAACCCACCGCGTTCACCCTCTCGCAAACTTTCTCCCACTCCAAGCGTTTTTGTTTTGCACTGACGCCACTGGACAGGCTGCCAAACAAAACACGCTGTCGCTCCTCCACCTCCGCCACAAGCACCTCCACCTCGCACGCCGTAAATTTAGTTTTTCTTGTCATTTTGTCTGCGTGCGAGGACAGGGAGACCCTATTTAAATAAATCTGCATATTTATGGGAGGGCGTAACGGGGACGGGCCCAGTCACTCCGACATCTGCGCTCAATTCCACGCTGATTGGGATTTATCAAGGAAACACACGTGGATTTCGGCGCCCGCACACATTGATACATACAGATTTTTTTCAGCGTTACGGACCTTGCGTGCACTCGTTTCTGGTATGAGTTCCACGCAAGTATTGATACATGAGGCCCCAGGTCTGGCGGCAGAATGTAAGGAACCAGCAGAGGAAGGGTGGAAAGCTGGAGGCAAACTTCCTCGGTCCTTTTACTATCACAGCACTGCAGGGAAAAAGTGCTGATCTGAAGGGAGAGGGTGGTGCAGTGTTTCCCAAAGTAAATGTTGACCACCTCATTAGAGTAAGGCAGGAGGAGCCACGTATACCACACAAGATAAAATCTTCTGTGGCCCCATCCATACAAGCCCATACACCTGCTGCTGCATCTGCACCCCAGACAAACCGGCCCTCGGTCATTCAGTTGGCAAAATCCAGAGCAACTGCACCTCCAGCTGCCTCAGCCTCAGCACCTCCAGCTGCACCAGCCTTTGCTCCCCCTGCTGCACCAGCCTCCTCATCTGCAGCTGCACCAGCCTCTAATCCACCTGCTGCACCAGCCACTTCACCTGCCGCTGCACCAGCCTCTGCTCCCCCTGCTGCACCAGCCACTTTACCTGCCGCTGCACCAGCCGCTGCTCCCCCTGCTGCACCAGCCACTTTACCTGCCGCTGCACCAGCCTCTGCTCCCCCTGCTGCACCAGCCACCTCACCTGCCGCTGCACCAGCCGCTGCTCCCCCTGCTGCACCAGCCACCTCACCTGCCGCTGCACCAGCCTCTGCTCCCCCTGCTGCACCAGCCACCTCACCTGCCGCTGCACCAGCCTCTGCTCCTCCAGCTGCCTCAGCCTCAGGACCTCCAGCTGCACCAGCCTCTGCTCCTCCAGCCGCCTCAGCCTCAGGACCTCCAGCTGCACCAGCCTCTGCTCCTCCAGCCACCTCAGCCTCAGGACCTCCAGCTGCACCAGCCTCTGCTCCCCCTGCTGAACCAGCCTCCTCATCTGCAGCTGCACCAGCCTCTGCTCCCCCTGCTGCACCAGCCACCTCACCTGCCACTGCACCAGCCTCAGCTCCCCCTGCTGCACCAGCCTCAGGACCTCCAGCTGCACCAGCTTCAGGACCTCCAGCTACACCAGCCTCAGGACCTCCAGCTTCACCAGCCTGGGCACTTTCATTTGCTCTGGCAACTCCAAAATACAAATCAACGTCAATCAAAAAATGTAAGTATTTTCTATACTATACTTACTTAGTCTTGCTTTCTTTAAAAAGATGTTATCATAAGGATAGTAACTCCTTCGTTGCATTGATACAGAATGAACTAAAATAATATTTTCTGTAGAAAAGACAATCATAACATTTTTTAGAATTGTGGTTGAATTGAAAAGGAAAAATATGTTTTTGAAAAGGGGTTTTATGTTGTAATTAAAACGTTAATGAATACAGAACGTTATATGGTTTGATATGCCTCAATTTCTGCAGATGTAAAAGAGGCCTTTGCAGGGAAAAAGGCCCATGTCCTTCTGTCCCTGATTGGGAAGTACAGGTTGTACTTTTGGGACATAGAAAGGATTGGTCCCAACCGGGAGCTTGAGAGCGAGGTATTATGCTGTCATCATTGTCTGATGCCTATACATCACTCCGCATATGAGCAATTATTGACTATTCACATTTTGACAAGGATTTGTTTCTAGTAATTAAGTTAATAGTGCATAAATTGTAATTCAGTGACCTGCGAAATTATTTGATAACTCATCCTCCATACTGAATCTATGTAGCTGTTACACTGAGTCAGTCAACAGTATATGGAACTGCATGTCTCACACACAATGAATTTATTCATAGGTAATCAATGCCTGCCTGACCCTGCTTGTCCGGGACTACAACAACACCAATGCGGATAAGGCTGAGGTCATTAGCCACGTTTACATGCAGACTTTTTTCTCATTCGGATTATAATCATTCCGATTGAAGCTCCCAGGCGAACTGTTTACATGGAAGCGATCTATTCTGATCTGGTGTTTACATGTGCCACGGCATTCAATCGGAACAGCTATTTACAGACACGTGATACCTTCAAACATCACGTGATGTTGTCACGTGATGTTGTCACATGATGTCCCACCATGTGAGTCATACGTCACTGCTTGTTTACATCAGGACAGAGCATGCGCAGACAGAACCCAGCCTGACAACTTTCCGATTCACCGTTTACATGACAGGATTTTGCTTTTAATCGGAATGGGAAAAGGAATATTCTACCCCTGTGAATCGGAATGAAATTCCATTCGGAATGGGCCTGTTTATTCCGAATGAGGTGTTTATATGGAGCATTTTCATTCCGATTGGGCTTCTATTCCGATTATATTCGGAATATTTGGCTCCATGTAAACGTAGCTATTGACAGCTTCACGATGACAGCAATTTGGGAAGGAAAACTACCAAGACTCAGGACTGTATGTAGTGGACTGTTACAGTATGCACGTGGAATTTGTTTCTCTGATTATGCAATTAATGTTCATTAGTTCTTCCTATTTTCAGCTCGATCCAATGGCATTCTCTGTAATTGTGGGAGTAGTAAATGAACACCAGCACTGGATGTTGACGGTAAGATGAGAAGTACTGTGCAAATCTTGCTTTTTTAAGATCTGTATCAGTGGTTATGAAGGCCCTCTTTAATTTCAAGGTTAGAACTCCCTTCCAAAGGCCATTTCTGAAGTATAAAAAAATGTACATGTACCCATCCAATCTTGAAGATTAGTCCGTCCAATGGTAGGTTTGTGCCTAACTTATCATGTTTCCATGTTAAAAATACAAAGGTCATCTACCCACATGAGAGGAGATGCCTTTTTTTGGATCCGTTGGGTGAGTCTGACAGAAACATGAAGAGATGCCTGGAGTCAACAAGGTAATTTTTCTTCATAAACAGATATTTTCTGATACACAGTACTTGCACTATGATGTCAGACAAAAAAAAGTTGTTCTAAGAGCTGTTAAATGATGATTGTGCGATAGTTTTCACTAACAATATTTCTATTATTAAGGGCCTTTATGCGCAAGAAAGGCTGCAATGTGTCAAGGTGGGCATGCGGCACCCTGACTCATGCACGCCAGCAAGATGGAACATCATGTGGTGTCCTGGCCTTAAAAGTGAGTGTACAATACACCATTGAAACAATGTGGACAACCTCAGGGTCATAAACTTTTTTTTTTTTTTTTTTAGAAAACCATGACCTATTAACCTGTTTTCTTACATGATCATGGATGTTTGTGATATGTATCATACAGAAACTGTAATTTTGATGTTAACAAGAAACACTTATGTGTATTCAACATGTTGCTCAATGTAAAAACATGGATCTTAGCATCTTGCTAGTTTATGTATTCATCTTAAGATGCTTATATGCTAACCTAAGTTCTCTTTAGTTTGCAGAAAAAATATTAAAAGGTGAGCAAATTGGCATCAAGACCACACAAGCGGCAGTTCAGAAGATGAGGCTAGATATAGCCTTTGTCCTCCTCCAAGAATCGGTGCGTTTTCTTTCCAGCTGATCAATGTTAATTATTCATGTTTTAGCAGTTATAAATCTATGCCCTTCAGTTAAAATGACAGGGAGAGTAGTAAATTAATACTGTGGAATATACAGTACTATACAAAATAAATGCTTTGTTCACACCTGAAATGGCCCATAACCTTGGTACAGGACTCTATATTGTATCAATTTATAAATGTTGGATATTCTTGTGGAATTCATTAAATAACATAAACAGTGCATGTGTGGAGGGGGTCCTCAGGGGGGGTTGGTCCTCCTGTCTCACTTTCTTTTAACCGTCTAGGTAATACAAGATAGTCTCAATCAAGTGTATTTGAAAATTGGTTGATTGCTTAACATTACACCTTACTTTACTTAACTAGTTTAAAAAAAGTTTCTAACATATAAATATTTTTTGGTACATGATCTCAAATGAAGTTTGCCACTAACTCTGTTAAACCATAAAAACATTGATGACAAAATGTATATCCAATAATCAGGACAGCCTAATACAATTACATATTAATGGAGTTTAATTTAATTTCTGCAAAATTTTAGAAGAAATTCCAGAGTGAAGTGAATGTTGTTCATACTCTTTTTCTGAACAGATGACCTCAGCAAGGTCTGCCACTACTGTGGGTTGGAGGAGAACAATAACCCTCAATGGGTAAGTTTTTAACAGTACAAGTATAAATAATGGAATAAGAGGACCTGGAATTAAATATTTGAAACTGGAATTTTACATGCAAGTATAATCAGAAAGTAATCAGTAAATGTAACCTACAAATGTCCAAGAAGTAATGGTGCCAAAATTAAATTGCATGTACATGATAAGGATGACACCAATTGAAGAAATTCTCTGTCTTTTAAGATCTGCTGTGACAACTGTGACAGGTGGTTTCACCATGAGTGTGTCCTGAGGCCAGACATCAAAAGGGATTACCTGTGCCCTGCATGCAAATAGCAAAAGCTTGAACCCTGGATTCTCCGGGATGGGGGCTTGGGATTGTTGTACTGTATGTCATGACCTTCTCCCCAGTATTTATTGTATATATATATATATATATATTATATTTCTGTTCATAGACATTTTCTTTCTTATGAAAAGTTTAATTTTATAAAAGGCATGTATTCTATTTTATTTAATAGCTTTGTGTTCCCTTTATTTAACTTTGTTTGACTTTGAATATTTTAAATTTAAATTATTTAATTATTTGTGACTTTTATTTGTTGGTTTTAATAAACTTAAATATTTAGCCTTGTTTGATAAGAAGTTACATTTCTTCTCTGACCTTTAAAGATTTTATTTGATTAAAAGATAGGTTTCAGATACAATCATCAGGATGCTGATTTATTTATGATGTTTTGTGTGACAGGGACTTCCTCTTTATTGTAAGGCAAACTTTATGAGTAAAGACCAATGTAGCATAAGTTGGGGACACCGTACATACCTAGAAAAAGATAGGGGGTGATTTCTCAAGTAGAAATCAAAGACTTTCTGCCGGAAAATGCACCCCCACCATAAATGCTTTTCTGTTGGACCCTGCACCACATGATTTTTATAGTATAAAGAGGGGATAAGTATGAGTAACTGAGGTTAGTTTCATGGCCCTCTGACTTTCCTGGCCAGAGATAGTCACGGGGTGCGGTCTCAGGTAGATAGTGAAGACATCCTGCCGGAAAATGCACCCCCACCATAAATGCTTTTCTGTTGGACCCTGCACCTCATGATTTTTATAGTATAAAGAAGGGAAAAGTATGAGTAACAAGGGTGAGTTTCATGGCCCTCTGACTTTCCTGGCCAGAGATAGACGGGGGGTGCAGTCTCAGGTAGATAGCAAAGACATGCTGCCGGAAAATGCACCCCCACCATAAATGCTTTTCTGTTGGACCCTGCACCTCATGACTTTTACAGTATTAAAACAGGGTAAGTATGAGTAACTAGGGTGAGTTTCATGGCCCTCTGACCTTCCTGGCCAGAGATAGTCACGGGGTGCAGTCTCAGGTAGACAGCAAAGACATGCTGCCGGAAAATGCACCCCCACCATAAATCCTTTTCTGTTGGACCCTGCACCTCATGATTTTTACAGTATAAAGAGGGGATAAGTATGAGTAACTAGGGTGAGTTTCATGGCCCTCTGACCTTCCTGGCCAGAGATAGTCACGGGGTGCATCTCTGAGCAATGGCCTTAACAGCCTGCCATGAAATGTTTTCGCCATACATTGTACCTCAGCATCAGGCACATTTAATTGGATACTCTTGGTGCCGAAGTTGTGTACGTTCAAATATGACACGTCTGTAAACCGAATTGTCATCCGTCGACTTCTGACTCATCCATTTATTCATTTATCTATCCACTCATGAGCCTCTATAAGTGGAAGAAAATGATCTTATATGAAAAAAAAAACAAGATAATTGGATCATGACAACATGTCAAATATTCATTCAGTTTTTATGTCTCTCAAAAATGTACACATATAAGAGTACATGGGTATAGAAACTGTATAGCAATCCGTCGCGGTAGAGAACATTATATTTTCGGGACAGCAAATATTCCGAATCAGAGGGCTATTGTTTTCTGCACTTTCTTGCACTTCCAACCGGCTCCTTGGGTCATTACAGCTGAGTTTACTATAGCTACAGAATGCGGTTTCGGGGAAGAAGAAAAGAATGGCGACGTGTTCTTGTGATTTATTTGAAATGCATACATATCTGTTCCTTTCCCCAGCAGCCCCTTCACCAGAAAAGTTGAAAAACGAATTAGTTTTCCGCTTTATATTGTGGCAACTCGAGCTAGTTGCTGTACTTTTCGAACCGAGTGACGTAGGCGCGCTCCCGTCAGGGAATGCTGTCAGGGGGTGCATTCTACGGCGGGGGTGCTTTCTACGGCACAACACCGGGGGCCGGGGTGGCCCGAATGCCGCTGGTCCTGGCTGACGACTCCGAGCCGGTGGACGGGCTGCCGCGGGCCAGGGTTCCGCAAGCCGGCGACACGGCCAACACATTGATTTCTGTGACACAATAAAAATATTTGTTCATTTCAATTCCTGCTTCTGTGTATCTGTTGCGTTTACATCTCTCTCCACGGTATCATAGGTAATGTAATCCAGTATTTAGAGGTCAGTTATGCACATTACAGTTGTTTATTGCATAAAAAGTTATGAAAAGAAATGAAGTACAAACTTAGACTAGACATCTAATATACGTCTTTTGCTCAGTGGGATGGCAAAGCATGTGGACATTTGTGTGACACGCCACTTACCCTATAATAATAATCGCCACCACCCGCTGCTCAAACGGCGTGAGGGTCTCCTCCCCCGGACCCCCACCTGTCTGGCCGGTACTCCTCCGGAGGGCAGCTGTACGCCGCTTGACCTCCACCTTGAGGTCCGACCACTTTTTTTAATCTCTGCGGGGGTGCGTGTCTCGGAACCCACCTCGTTCACCCTCTCGCAAACTTTCTCCCACTCCAAGCGTTTTTGTTTTGCACTGACGCCACTGGACAGGCTGCCAAACAAAACACGCTGTCACTCCTCCACCTCCGCCACCAGCACCTCCACCTCGCACGCCGTAAATTTAGTTTTTCTTGTCATTTTGTCTGCGTGCGAGGACAGGGAGACCCTATTTAACGGGGGCGGGCCTGGGGGCGGGCCCGGTCACTCAGACATCTGCGCTCAATACCAAGCTGATTGGGATTTATACGGATTATATACATACAGATTTTTTTCAGCGTGACAGACCTTGCGTGCGCTCCTTTCTGGTATGAGTCCCACGCTAGTGTTGATACATGAGGCCCCTGGTGAGTCCACTGACTTATCAAAACTTGCACAACATATGTCGTCCAAGGGTGTGAGGAAACAAAAGCTAGTCAAATCATCTCTGTGTCCTTAAAAGTTAAATGGGTTAGAATTTGGAAATATTTCTGAGATGATAAAACATATGCCAGCTTTGTAATGTGCTGCTTAAAAGTTATGATCAAACCAGGTAACAAACCAAAGATTCTTTGCAATAAGTTTGACGTGATCCACCAACTCAGCAGTGGATGGCAGCAGTTGATCCGTCATGTGCTCGGGTTCATTTAACCCTTGTACCTTCTTTCCTCAGAATCCCTAATCTTGCATCAGTGGCACGGAACTGCCACTGTCACTTAGTGGCGTATAAAATCATCTATAAATGAAAAGTTGCCCTTTTTTTATTATGGCTGTCATCAGTGACTTCTGCTCTAACCACTCAAAAGAAAAAATCACTCAGTTTCAAACTTTTAACCCTTTTAATTTAAGTCTAAACACACCGTAAAAAATGCCCAAAATTTTAAAAAGTGGTAAAAAATAAGAGTAATGCAAAATCAAATTTCTTTGTGCAAGATTATCAGAACCTATGAGTGGTATAAGTATGTGTAAAATTAGTTTTAGTTGCAGTTTCAGTTTTTGTGTCACAGCAGAAAATAAAAAAAAACGACTAATCTTGCATTAGTGGCACGGAACTGCCACTGTCACTTAGTGGCCTATAAAATCATCTATAAATGAAAAGTTGCCCTTTTTTTATTATGGCTGTCATCAGTGACTTCTGCTCTAACCACTCAAAAGAAAAAATCACTCAGTTTTCAAACTTTTAACCCTTTTATTTTAGTTTGAACATACAACGCAAACGTGTGTGTGTTTGTGTGTGCCTGCGTGTGAGTGTGTGTGAGTGAGTGTGTTTGAGTGTTCATGTATGTGTGTGTGTGCCTGCGTGTGAGTGTGTGTGAGTGAGTGAGTGTGTTTGAGTGTTCATGTATGTGTGTGTGTGTGTGTGTGTGTGTGTGTGTGTGCACGTGTGTCTTTCCTCCTGTGGGCAAAGATGTGGCGGGGGGGGCTCAAATCTGTGGGAGATTATCGATGCAGGTGCAGCACACACGGACGCTGTGCTCCATGCACGTGGTAGACTTGCAGATGTTGCACTGATTGCTGCAACGCAACCTCTTCTTCACAGGGCACATGTAGCACCTCGCCTTTGATGGTCGGCTGGCGGCCTCCTGGGTGCTCAGCACAAGAGCAGAGGAGTTGGGAGCACGGGGAACCCTCGACCGCCGTGCTATCTGCTCCCTTACCAGGGCAGTGCCCAACTGCTCCAAAAACAGCCGCCTCCGATGGAGCTTCCCCTGTCCCCATCGTGGATCAATGCCGAGCCACAACACCAAGGCGTTGTATGCGGAAATATCTAAGATGTTTCCCCAAACCGCCATGGGCCACCTGTTGCTCTTGCGACGGCTGGTGTAGGTTCCCACCAGCTGCAAAAAAATACAACAGGGAAGAAGAATATTTAGAAAGTAGCGTAAAAAAAATTAATGCATATAGCCTAAATGTTTTGGAGCGCACCTGATCCAGAGTGTCCACAGCGCCTTTGCTCTTGTTATAATCAGTGATGATGGCCGGTTTGTACGGGGGGGTCAAGGCTGTGGCTCCATCCCGGTGCTTGGTCGAGAGGAGAAATATGTTCTTCCCCTTCTTTGGGATGTAGGAGACCACTGTAGCCATGTCATTGAACCCAAAAAGGGAGCTGTTTTGGGGTCGAATCTTCTTTAGCTCCATGGGGATTTCTGGCTTATGTTGCCGAAGAGTGCCCAACAACAGGATCCCGTGGGAAAGCAGCTCCTTCCCGAGCGCCCTGGTGAAAAAATTGTCAGTGGTGACAGTGTGACCACGTGGAAGCCCTGCCACCAAATCGAGCACCACCCGCTTCCCCTGCTCTTTCTCCGGGCGAGCGCTGGGACTAGCCTTTCCAAGGTAGGGCTGGATGTAAAGGGCATAGGATGTCTCGACATCACACAGAACCCACATTTTGAGGCCGTACTTTGCTGGTTTTGACGGCATGTACTGCCTAAAAGAACAGCGCCCCCGGATTGCCACCAACTGTTCATCCACGCAGACCCTCTCCCCCGGATTGAACCCGAATGCGAGACGGGGGACCCACATTTCCCATATTTCCCGGATCGGGGCAAACTTGTCTGGGTCGCCTGCCAGGGCCCCTCTCAATCTCGACACCCGGTCCTCACGATCGTCAAAGCGCAGGGCCCCCAGCAGCTGCTGGAAGCGCTTCAGAGACATCACTGCGCTGAAAATTGCCCTATTGTTGGGTCCGCTCCACAGGCTTTGGCTGCTCTCGCCCCGAGACCTGAAGACTCCAGCCAGCAGCTGCACCCCAACCAGTGCCTTGATCTCTACTGTGTCGGTCGGGTGCCAGTTCTGGTACCTCCGGCAACCCTCCAGGTTGGTGTACCCAGCAATTTTGTTGAGGATTTCCTCCGACAGAAAATAAAGGAAGGCATCCTCCACCTCTTGGATCCTGGACTGCGCATGTCGAGTCACGCCCGGCATGGGGATTGGATTAGGCGTAATGCTAGGGGCCACGGGGTTTGAAGACCACTTATCTCCACTCTTTGAACACCAGTCGTGGCTCAGAGGTACAGGTGCCTGTTGGGGAACCGACGCAGAGGCCGCTCCTTCCACCTCAATCTCCTCATGGCTATCCTCCCCATTGCTCCCACTTCCATCACTCTCCACCTCGTTGCCATCATCAGGAGGCTTGAATGTTGGGTCCATAACCTCGTCTTCTGATGCAGAATCAGCAATTGATGAATCATCAGCTGTTCTCCCAAACTTTCCAAAAATGCAAACGCTTCTTTTGCATTCATACGCCTCTTCATGCTTTTGCTTTCTGCTCTTAGATTCTCTGCCTGTATAACTCTGCCCTTGCACCTGTGTAAAGACACATACACACATATCCAAAACCTTCTCCCTCCTCTTTATCTCACTCCTAATTCTCACACATGCAAGCAACACCATAATTGCTCTGAAAATAATCAAGTTTCTAAATTTTACTTTATAACATTTTGTGTGTGTGTGTGTGTGCTTGCGCTCAGTGGAGCTAGTGAAGCGAGCTAACCTGACTCCGCCACGTGGTGGCGATCGCTGTGTGTGCGCGTGTGCTTGCGCTCAGTGGAGCTAGTGAGGCGAGCTTACCTGACTCCGCCACGTGGTGGCGATCGCTGTGTGTGTAAGTGTGTGTGTGTGCGTGTGTGGAGTGTGTGTGTGTGTGTTTGTGCTTGCTTACGATCTGCGGAGCTGAGGGAAGGTATCTCCAGAACAGGTGGCGCGGCACAGTAATTAGTACGAGATACGTCGGACTGCCGGATGCAAAACCCCATTAACCGGAAGAAGAAGAGGTCGGCTCTGACCCACGATGGGGATGAGCTGTGTGTGTGTGTGTGTGTGTGTGTGTGTGTGTGTCCGCCGCGAAGCGCGTAAAATTCGCCGGCGACGACCATCCGACACCCCCGTTTCCGTGTGGTGAGGTGAGGTTACCACCTCCAGAGCAGCCAGCGGCTCCCCGCCTTTGCTGACGCGGGCCTAAGGCTATCTGATCACGGGTAACGGGGCGGCTGTACCCGGGGCAACCTTGGACGCTTGGGGCGCATGTGCCATGAACGCAATCGCTGGCTGTGACGAGCGCGTGCAAGATCATGCGCGTGCACAAACATTTGCACACGAACACACACGACCATGCACACACGGAAAACACTAACACATGAAAAAAAAATACATGCACACCTGATTTATTCACTTCTACAGTCTAATTTAGTTTTTTTGCAAAAAATGGCCTCTCACTGAAGGTCAATACCGGATATGAAAACAAATGAAATTTCAGCATTCATAATTTGAAAAAATTGGATTGGAAATAGACTCAAGATAAAATGCAAAAAAATGTGGGGAAAAATCTGATTTGAACTCTTGTGGCAGTATATTACAAACAAGTAGCAGATTTTCCTTCCAAAAGACTGCATCTATCATAGGCTGTGGTTTACGGGTGTGTCAAACTGACCAAAATGGTAAAAAAAAACAAAAAAACACCAGAATAACAAATTTGAGACAGTTTCATGCCCAAAAAAAAGTAAAATGGTAAAAATAAAATAAAAAATTGCTTCCTTTTATTAGTGATAAAGTTATGTGCATTTTTTGATTTCTGAATATTGTAATTTTTGCCAAATTCCCATAAGGAATAATGGGGTTTTGACCACCTGGCTAGATCAGCCTCTATTATTCATGAAAAAAAAAGTGCACCTTGTGGCTGAAAGTGCACAGTGCCTCTTTAATGTCTTCTGAAAAGGGGGAAAACAGTCTTTGCTGAAATTCATTTTTTTCCCACTGATATGGGTATATGTAAAAGACAAGTGGTTTCCCATTGGAATGCATGGGGCACTTGTGTGGCGCTAATGCAAGATTAAGCATATTTGAAAAAAAAAACACATAACCATAGGGTTTTTTTTCTTCAATTTCACGTATATCATGCCTCATCACAAAATACACATTTTCTAGGAATTTCTTTGCAAGGGCATTAAAAGAAAAAAAGTTATAGCATCAAAGACAAGGCCTTACCCCTCCAGAAACCTTAAGAAGGTACAAGGGTTAAATAGATCTGACAGGCAATTATTCACTAAACTCAGACCCAACACTGAGCCCTGAGGCACACCAAACTAGAGTGCCTTGAAAACGTATTCATACCTCTTGAACTTTTTCACATTTTGTCACTCTACAACCACAAACATTTTTTGTCATAGACCAACACAAAGTAGCACATAATTGTGAAGTGGAACAAAAATGATACATGGTTTTCAAAAATGTAAACAAATAAAAATCTGAGAAGTGTGGTGTGCTTTTGTATTCAGCCCCCTGTACTCTGATACCCCTAAAGAAAACGCAGTGTAATCAATTGCCTTCAGAAGTCAGCTAATTGGTTAATAGAGTCCACCTGTGTGTAATTTAGTATCAGCATGAGTACAGCTGTTCTGTGAAGGCCTCAGTGCTTTGTTAGAGAACACTAGTGAATAAAGAGCATCATGAAGACCAAGGAACTCACCAGACAGGTCAGGGGAAAAGTTGTGGAGGAGTTTAAAGCAGGGTTAGGTTATAAAAAACATCTCAAGGAGCACTGTTCAATCCATCATCCAAAAATGGAAGAAGTATGCCACAGCTGCTAACCTACCAAGACATGGCCGTCCACCTAAACTGACAGACCGAGCAAGGAGAGCACTGGTGAGAGAAGCAGCCAAGAGGCCCATGGTCACTCTGGAGGAGCTGCAGAAATCCACAGCTCAGGTGGGAGAATCTGTCCACAGGAGGACAACTGTAAGTCGTGTACTCCACAAATCTGGCCTTTATGGAAGAGTGGCAAGAAGAAAGCCACAGAAAGACATAAACATTTGCGTTTCCACGGCAAACATGTGGAAGAAGGTGCTCTGGTCAGATGAGACCAAAGTTAAACTTTTTGGCCTGAATACAAAGCGCTATGTGTGGCGGAAAAGTAACACTGCTCATCACCCTGAACACACCATCCCCACTGTGAAACATGGTGGTGGCAGCCTCATGCTGTGGGGATGCTTTTCTTCAGCAGGGACAGGGAAGCTGGTCAGAGTTGATGGGAGGATGGATGGAGCTAAAAACAGGGCAATTCTGGAAGAAAACCTGGTGGAGGCTGCAAAAGACGTGAGACTGGTAAAGAGATTCACCTTCCAGCAAGACAATGACCCTAAACATACAGCCAGAGCTACAATGGAATGGTTTAGATCAAAGAATATTCATGTGTTAGAACGGCCAAGTCAAAGTCCAGACCTAAATCACATTGAGCATCTGTGGCAAGACTTAAAAATTGCTGTTCACAGACACTCTCCATCCAGTCTGGCTGAGCTTGAGCTATTTTGCAAAGAAGAATGGGCAAAAATTTCAGTCTCTAAATGTACAAAGCTTGTAGAGACATACCCCAAAAGACTTGCAGCTGTATTTGCAGTGAAAGGTGGCTCTACAAAGTATTGACACAGGGGGGCTGAATACAAATGCACACCACACTTTTCAGATTTTTATTTGTTTAAATTTTTGAAAACCATGTATCATTTTCATTCCACTTCACAATTATGTGCTACTTTGTGTTGGTCTATGACAAAAAATCTCAATAAAATACTTTTCAGTTTGTGGTTGTAGAGTGACAAAATGGGAAAAAGTTTAAGGGGTATGAGTACTTTTTCAAGGCACTGTAAAAAGAGAGAAAAAAACTGAAAGAAAGTCAAGTAAATGAGTGAATCCCACACATTCAGGTGAGACTTACAATGACACTGACTGAACTAAGTTAGATAAAATAACTTAGTTCACCAAACAACATTTCAGTTAAAAGTTTTCCTTTATTTTTGTAGAAAACAATAAAAAGTTGTCTGCTGTTCAGTTAACACAAGTATTGCATCAAGACTTTGTATTGGCTGATACTTAATGGTAAAAAAAAGAAAATCTAGATCAGCAGCCAAAAGAATGTGATCAGGACATCTGTGGAAAAGACAAAACAACTTTTAGAAAAATTTCACCTTTGTTTGGAGGAAAGCAGGAAAAAAAATAAACAAACATCAAAAAAACAATGAACCAATGAAACCACTGTGTTTATTTTCTCTAGGCCTCAGCTTACCTCAGTCCACTTTACCAGAGACACCTCACACACATGAACGTACAGCTCTCTTCTCCCTGACTCTTGTCTTTGACACAAATAACACACTTACAACTCCACAATAGGGACAATAAGCTCACTAATTAGAGCTCCAATCCCACAGAAATGTCTGCCGAGGAGATAATTTGTCAAAACACAAAGTCCTTCTTGTTGTTTGCTGTTTTTGGCATGAAAACAAGTTTTCTAAGCTTTTGTTGCTGAAATGAGATTTGACTCTTCCTTGATCACTACTCGCTCTGTCTTCAATCACTGAGCAGTTAAAAATACAATCAGGTGAGGGCGGGGAAGAGGAAGAAGAGGAGGAAGAGGCAGGCGTTCTGGTCTATCAGAGTTTGTTTCCAAACTGATTACTGCTGCAGAGGTTTGATTTCTGAACGGCGGAAACCTCAGTGCCCGCCTGCGTAATGATCCATTCTTTAGCTCGATACTTCAGGAAACTTCCCCAAATGTTTTATCACCTTGAAAAAAAGAGCCTCCTGTTTCTCAGCGCTGAGGCTTTAAGAGCTTCATACTTCAGTGAGAGTTATAATTTGGTGGATAGATGTACACTCTTTTGAAGTTCTCACTCTTTGGGTAATTTAGTCTGTCGAGACAATATTAAAAGCAGCAACACATTGATTTAGTATGAGAATTGGAGTGGGGAAAAAACCCTCTGGAGCTCAGCCCATAATGTATCGACAAAATCACAAGACTCCTTCAAGAAGAAGGGATTTCTGTTTGCTTGATCTTTGCTTTCAAAAGAGTCTGGGCCAGATTTTTACAGATTTTTTCCATCTGCACTCTAAAGACTGTGCAGTATATTTCTCTGAAAGAAAGAATAAGACTTATGAAATAATTATTTTCAGATACTAAGAACTTTCAAAACAGATTGGAAGTGCATAAATAAATATACTCTAATTAGCCCATAGAGGTCAGTTGGATTGGGGGTTAGCTTGAAGAAGCATCTCTGTGTTATAAACATGTTTGCAGCTATGCACCAAAACAGATCCACTTCTCCCAGAGAGGTTGTTTTAATATTTAATGCACATATTATATCACAGAGTTGGTTTTCCTATAA